CCCCACCTGTATCAGTTTTTGCAGTTCTGTTTCATTTTTGGTTATAGACTGGTTAAAATTTGTCATGAGTGCCACAGTGCGTTCTGCAGTGTCATTAACGACCTTAAGTGACTTCACAACATTTGCTACTTTTTGAAATAAAGGAAGATCAGGTGCATCACTGGGTATTGGGCACAACATCCATGCTGGCACATATATATGGGTTGCAAATAGGCAGAATTCAGTTAAACTTTTTGTTTCAGTTGCTGTTAGCTTGAATTCATTGCGGAACAAATACATTTTGAGACAGTAGATCACTTTGGCCATCCATCTGGCCATGTGATATGCTCCAGGAACACGGAAATGGTACTTGCCATCAGTCTGCATTGGATAACCCAGCACTAAGAGACAGAGTTCAACCAACTCCTTGTAATCCTCTCGTGGGATGTATGAGCTGTCAGCTGAAAGAAAACATGTCAAAGATGGTACTATGTCAAACCGCATCATCTGTAGCAATGAGTGGTTCATCCTGTCATCATCAAGTGGCTTGTGGTTTGACTGATTTATATTTGGCCAGTAGGCTCGAAATCTTTCAAACATTCCAATATTGGGGCCACGGCTTGGACCAAACAAAACTGTGAAAACTTCACCGATTATCAATTCATGTACATGATGACCACAAGCAAAGTGCAAGAGATTTCTATGGAGCAGTTTCTCCAGCAAAACACATGCTCCACTTGACGTCCCAGTATTGGCAGCAGTAGTATCAAAGCACATGCCTATAATGTCTTCACTAACGTCCCATAATTTGAGCAACTGAAAAGTTGCATTGGCCTGTGCTTGTCCCGTGATTGATGCAATTTTAACAATTCCTAAGATTTTCTCCACATTACAGCCAGTCATAACAACAGCCAGTCACAACAACAGCCAGTCTATCAGTTCTGGAGTGTGGATCATCATTCATGATCTTCCCATCCCAGTGAACCAGAAGGGGGTTTTTGTCACGATCCTGAAATTGTTGACGAATACTGCTGTCAATGGTTGATCGATGTTGCTGTCGTTTACGATGAACTGTGGAACGTGACAAAAATGTATCCCTGATGTCTTGCCCACTAGCTTGTGCAATGGCTGCTGCTAATACTGTGAACTTTCTATCTGACAGGTTTATTCTATCCAGTGCTGAAGCAACATCTGGCGACGACAACATATTCTGCACAGTTCGTGTTTTTTTGCTGGCACTGCTTGACAGACTGTCTTCTACTTCACTGATCTGCTTTTTGTAGTACACTGTAATTTAAATTTCATAGTTGTCCTCTGTGTCCTGCTGTTCACTATCACTGTCATCAGAACTAGATAAATGTAGTGAGGTACTTTCTGTCATCCGCTCCTGCTCTCGCTCTTTTCTCTCTTCTTCTTTGCATTTACGTTGTTCTGTGCGCTTTTCTTTCTTGGTCAGGTCTTTATCAATGCCACTCTTTTGCATTCGTCGACTGCCCCTCTGGTCTTCAAGAAATTCTATATCTTCCTGAATTCGGATGAGCTGCATGGCGTGTTGGTGAGCAATATCAAACAGCATGTGCTCCTTTTCTTCAAATTCCTTCTCTCGTGCTCGTTGTTCATCACTTTGTCTGTTTTTGTTCTTTTTTATTAGCTTGTAGTCATCAACTACCGACTTTACTTTTTCTACAACATGAGTATGGTAGGTTGTTGGTATTTTAGCCTTGTTCCACATGTCCATGACCTTATCTGACGACAGTTTTGCACTTTCAGGCACAGTTTTTTTTTCTACTTGATGATGATAAAAAAACATTCTCAGGACATCACCTGTTGTAGGCAATACATTTACTGGAAGTTCACTTTGTAACTGTCCAATCAGCCATATGTTAGTCATGCTGCGTGTTGTAAGAGCACCACAGTTTGAATTAGAAGCCATTTTATACGTAGTTAAATATGTACAGTACCGGTATTTCAAAATCACCTCAAATTACTAGTAAATCGACACAGTTAAATTATGCAGATATTTATCCTATTTTACTTTTTGCTGACAACAAATATGGTGACCATAGTATATTTAATAATAATAATGCATTTTAAAATATCTAATATCTATGTTTTGAATTAAGTAAGTAACCAACTTTTCCAGTTATATTTGTATTTGGTTTCGAAATAATGAATTATCACATTTTTATATAATTTTGAGATGCATGAGCAACCTCTAAATTTAATTTGATTTGTCTTATTTTGGGTTTGTAAGTTTTTAGGACCCAATGGAAACTTTTCAGAGGGTGTGCACTCAAATCAGACAAAAAATTTTTTTCCCCATTCAAATGTGAACCACCCTAATATATATATATATATATTCATATGATTATTGCCAATATAAGTTTATATACATTTAAACTATATTGCACAAAATTATTCTTACTATAAACTTGAAAGACAAACTAAACTTTATTCACAATCCTTATTACAAAATCTATTACACTAATTTTTGAATTAAAATTAAATATAATGTATAGGTAATAATATTCCTTTGATTATAATCAGTCAGCAGTTACTGTTCCATTGCTACTTCAACTATTACTAACCCTCAGCTACCACTACTGCTATTTCTCCGGATACTGTCAATAAAGAATCGAATTTTTTTTTTTGAAAAAAGTACTTTTTTTAATTGCGTCGAAATTGTTTATCCTTGCTACGTCTTTCAACATCGAACCATGTATCCGTTGTTTAACACTACAAAAAATACAGTGGTCGATGAATTACCAAGAACTGTCGAATGGTTATGGGATTATTGGACTATAGCATCGGCAGCCGTCACTCACTGGTTAAACTCTGGTGTGTGAAATAATGGCATATTTTACAGACAATTATTTAGTTATATCGGCAATCCTCCTCGTACTTCTCCTTTTCATATGGTCTCTCTGCACTCTAATGTATGGTAACATATTCTAATTAATTTTTCAATATAGATTTCTCACGTGTAAACACATAATTTTGTATTTGTAAATACGACATGCGTATGTATGTATAAGTTTATAAATGGGGAAACAGTATGAGAATATAATAATGATTGAATGTGGGTTGTTCTGGTTTCTCTATCATACAGACATTGTCTAATTTTAAAGATGTGAAGTGGATTTTTTGTTTTTGAGCTCCCCGAATGCGGACGATTTGAACCTCGTTTTTTTTAAATCTGATAACACAGTTTTTAACTTTGAAAGTTAAACTATAATAGATTAATGATTTAAATGTGTATCTTAAAATATTTAATTCTCCAGCTTCAAATGCCTCAACATAAACCCGATGAAATATTTGGCACCTTTGAAAAAGTTCCTCCCCTGCTTTTAGCCAACGTGGTAGACGGTAACAGTCTGCAAAAAAGAAAGTGGATTTAAGAAAAAAAAAACAAGAAAATAAAATTCCTACCCATAGTTTAACAAAATGATTTAATGTAAATAAATATGTAACAGTTTTTATCAATTTGTTAAAATAAATTTTATATAATTTTGATTTGTCAACAAATTTAGAAAGCGGAAATTAACAATATATGTGAATAAAAAGTATGAAAATTGAAATCAGTCACAGCGTATTTATTTGTATGACTAATAAAAATTGATTTAGCTCTTCAGTTCATAAATAATCTTAATTAATTATTCTCAGGAATATAACAAGTTATAACCTATCATAATTGTTAACAAAAAATTACCCAAGTTGAAACTTCACAGAATAATTTTCTCATTAGTAAAAAATTATATATCCCAAAGTTAAAATGCCATCTATTCAGTTTAAGGATTTAAAAACTAAAAGTTTCAACAAACTGCTCTGACTGATAAGTACATTACTAAACAATATCATCATCTACAATAACATTATGAATGTAAATAAAACAAGAAACGCGATTTTTTCACGGCATTAATGTCATTATTATGAGATTGAAATGAACGCTAAATAAGAATTTAACAAACATTTTTTTTAATATAAATCTAAAATTAATCATTTTTCTTTGTCGAACGGTCGCCAGTTATTTGATTTGATTTGAAAGTTTTTAGCTTCAGGTCTAAAATTTAGAAGACAAATTCTTGTCACGTATTGTCAATATATGAAGGAGATTTAGGATTCTATATTTCGTTATCTACAGTAAATACTGTTACAGGTTTTGCTACTACCAGCATTTAGCCAACTTTTTCGATTAACAAGTGTCATTGATTAGAAGTCAAGATGTTAAGAACATTTCGGCAACTAAAATTTTGCTGAATTTTTTTTAAATACTGAAATATATACTCAGTTATGTTTATTTATTTATAATGATCGAAGCCATTTTACGCCTTGTTCTCAGAAAAGATCGTCAGCCAGACATTATGACCAAAAAATGGAGCCACAAATCTAGAAAAAATATCTCTCCGGGTCGAAAAAATTAGCTATTTAAGTACCTATGCAACCCTTTAAAGATAAGATAGTTCTCAATGCGGCCCTCGTAGCAATACGTTTGCCCACCCCTGCTTTAAACCATTATATTTTTGACAATTTATGGTGTAAATTATGTTCAAAATTCAGCGAATCTTTCAAAATGATAATTTTTTGTTATAATTTTTCAAATAAAGTAAAATCTTGTTTATATAACTGTTTTTCTTACATTTTTAATTAGTTTATTCCACCGAACAAAAAAATATTTTGCGCCGAAATGAGGTATTTCGAACTGTGACCTCCATGCTTTGCTTTATGATAATCAACTTTGTTCAGAAAGTTCAAGTTCAAAATGAACCAGCTCGTGAATGCGTTCAAATGAGTTTAATCATACTGATAATATTTTTCTCTTTTCATTGTTTTAGCTGATATTTATGCCCGGTATTATTACTAATATTACTAATATATCGTTATGAATAATAATAATATTATTGTTTATTTTATTTATTGAGGAATTATGAAATATCCAAAATTAAAAGCTCACAATTATAAAATGACAAATTAACAAGTATTCAAGCTGTTACTGACATCTATAGCTACTACATTTTATTAAACGGAGAGAGACAAATTCATAATAATATTAATTGTTCATTTTTAATTATAACTACTAATATAATTTCTCCATTAAATCGCTAAATAACTTGAATGACAGGCATCTTTGTATTTATTGCCCTTTAAACGATATTAAATATGTAAATTTTCTTTGTCTCTCTCTCTCTTTCTCTCTCTCTTTCTCTCTCTTTCTTTCTCTCTCTCTTTCTCTCTCTTTTAAGACTGAGAAGTTTGGAAAATATATAATCTAAATATACATTTGTTTGTTTGAAGAGAAAGAGAGCAAGAGTGAGAGATATATATATATAATTCAATATTTTTCTATATAAGCGCTAACCAAACCAGTCGGTGGTCAAAAGAAATTGATATCTATGAGATAAAATAATAATTTTGATTAAAATTTTCTAAACTAATTGCTACAAACGAAAACAACAACAGCTTTTACTGCCGTTTCTTCGGATATACTAAGAAATAACTACTATTGTACCGCAACTACATAAAGTAAACATATCTACTACTACGGATACTTTGAATCGAAAGAGAGAAAAAAAACATGTACATCTTTATAGAAGTTTAATAAATTAAAGAATACTCTGTGAATAATTAGTGATACCATTCCTTCAAAATGTACCCATTGTACAACATAACGAACGGCACAGTGCTAGCGGGCGAGCCCGAGGCTATGGCACTCATCGGTACGGCATATCGGGCTGGCCGTGCTGCAATGGTTGTTTCTGATATAATAAGTTTCTTCAGGGAGTATTATTTATGGATTATTATTTTTTTCATCCTTATAATCATAATTCTCTCTCTTGCCTGCACTTGCATGTGAGTTTTTTTTTTAATTTTTGAGAAATATTATTGATTTTGTTTTTGAAATTTAA